GGAGAATCGCGTCTCCATATTATAATATTATTCTAAATTCAATTCGTTCTTGTACACATTAATGATTACGACATGAGTTTTAGGAAACCTTATGAATTCTTAAACGATGGAACACGTCAGGCATAAAATTACCATTGCAACTATATCCATCAACAAACAATCCGGTATTTCTGTCGGTCTCGTCATCTCTCGATTTTATTATAGATACTTCGAGTCTCGTGGATAACATCTCTTCGATTCCCTTTTTACATCAATTGATCGATCGAACTCATATTTTGCAAGTTTCTGCAATCTCGAGAGCCTGTTCGATCACGGTCCAAAGCTTACGTTATTTTTATTCCTACTTTTTCGCATTCTCTTCATTCCCCCCCCGGCTCCCTCCATGCTCCGTTTATTTCGTTTCTTATTATCATCTTCTTCCACTTCTTTAACCAGTCGACAAATCCATCCTCCTTTTCTCATTTTCTCGTATTACTCCTAATTACCATTCTTCTAGTTGCCGGTTTCTGCGCAGCTTAATTTCCTTTTAGACACGGGCTAAAATCTCTTTCTCTCTCGGTTGTTCCCTCTCTCTCTCCCTTCCCGTTGATAGAAACGAGACCAAACGATCCCTTCCTGGCCACCGGCTCGAAAAAGCGGCACTGCCTCCGTTGCTTTCACGATTTTTGTACGGTCGAGTTTCTACTTTAGCTGCTGGCAAGGTATTTCGTATTCCAGAGCAGAAGAAAGAGATTCATCTTCCTTTCACCAAGGCCAAGAAATTGTTGTGTTTACCTATATTACCGTTCCGTCAGAAGTGGAACAATACAAAATCGATGGTAAAAATATATGCAATAATTTGTCATTCATAATCGTTTTTTTTTACACGATTTTCTTTTTTTTTTTTTTTAATTATCATTCGAGACGGCGTGTCGATTAATATTGTAAATGAAACCGCATTACAAGCAAATTTATCTATACGACGGTCACGTATTTAGCATACTTTAGCATCTTGATACACACTATATTAAAAATGTGTGTACATGTGTATCAATTTAAATAGCGTGAAGAGGACCGGCGGCTAATAATAGATGATGAAGTCAGGGTCGCGAATATCAACCGTGTGCGTGATTATTCGGCGTCAACCTGTATTTCCGGTTGTCGGTTCGTTCGCAACGTGAACCCGAAGCGGTCATTCGTACGGCCGTACGCCTGCCTCTATACGAGTGCGTTTGGTATAGCACGGCGTAGCTATAGTTAGCTTGATACACGGCCAGAAATTGCAGGAAGACGCATAGCTGTTGCGCTCGCTATCGATGCACACTTTGAAACGTTCGAGTCTGACTGCTTAGGAATTTTGATGAACTATCGAGCGAAAAGAACGAAGTAATAAGGGCCTCTAAAGAGGAGTACAGTTTATCTGTTCTCCTGTGCAACAACTATGTCTATATAATACACTAATTATATAAATATACGGAGTGGAAATTGGTGGAAATTGTAATACAATTGGAAGGGAAGTGGAGAGGGATATAAGAAAAATAGGCAAAAAAAAAAGGAAAAAAATTGGCATTATTTTAATTTTTCCAATTCTTCTTCTATCTTTTGAACGAAATTATGTGAAAGGGACTGAATAAAAAAGTTAACGGTTTAAATATACGATTTTCTCGTGCGATGCGACAAATAATAAAATAAAATAATAAAATCTCGAGAATTCGAGCTCTGAATTATCGTTCTATTTAGTTATCTAAAAATATCATCCGTTTAGTTTCATAGTCAACTAACGTAAATTGTAACTTCATTCTTTATCGTTGACATGTTTTCATAACATTGAAAAATATACCGAGTTTGCTACAATAATAAATGCGGAATATTGCATTACGAAAGTGCAGACGATATTGATAGACTAATTTACACCACTATATGATTTTAATGTTTTACTATGGACATTGTCCTTTTTTAAGTTTTCTTTTCCTCGCATGCCACGTAAATTTTTACACAGACGAAAAAAAAATAAGAAATTAAACAATTTAATACCTTCATACCATCGGTAACTAAACTTTGTTCGAAACTAAAGCATCGAAACTCTTCTCCATAGGCGTAGAAACTTGTGCATACACGCGCTATTTAAAAACCAGTTCAACAACTTATCATTGTATCCATCGACTAAATAGCTTTTGTTGAATTTTCTATCCGCATAAATAACCACGATGTTTAAACGTGTCTCGATCTTCTGTAAATTAATTTTATTTATCCTTGGTTACAAGTAACAAATTGTTATCGATTCGATAGTATAGCTTAATAATAGTGCAGCTTAAACTATGCTGCTACGTTTAATATTCCCTCATCTTCCCTTTCCCTTCTAGAAAGGATTCTAGAAACCTTTAAAGCGTCCCTAGCCAGACAGAGTAATCGAGAGTACTTATACTCACCTAGGTGTAAGTCAATAGTTTACGATAATTTTCTTAGAGCGAATCAGCTAAATCACTTTTTACATATATCACACAATGAAATTAGCGTATATTTGTACGATAATTGAACAAAAAATTATTTTCCTTCACACACAGGTAAATATCCTTGCAAAAATTAAACAATCAGATAACAACATATCATAATACATAAATGATTTTTTTTTTAAAAATACGATAAAAAAACTTTAAAAAAAGAAAAAAGATATGGATATTAACTCTTTTAAAATTATGATAAATTTTTAAAAGTATTTAGAAGTTTGACTAATCAAATTTTTAAACGTTTATTTTTGGTTAGAAGTACTTTAAAAAAAGAAAAAAAAAAAAAGATATTAACTCTTTCAAAATTATGATAAATTTTTAAAAGCATTTAGAACTTTGACTAATCAAATTTTTAAACGTTTTTAAAAATATATTTAAAATTAAAATTTAGTTGAAATACAAAGTTTTTATATCTATTTCCCTCAGAAATTTTTAACAAATTCCATAAATTATTGATAAGGCATGTTAAATAATATGTTGTATCTGATGTCTTCTTTTCACTGTTATTTTCAAACCGAGCTATGCGAACGGTGCACTTCTTCTCGTGCAAACCAAGGTATCCAATCAACGTGAACCTTTTAAGGAAAACTATGTCGAGTCAGCAGCGTACACCTGTAAATAGAAACCAACCCTTAGTCTTGATAGTCGATTTTAAACGAGGAAAGTAAACCGATATCGTGTATATCTCAAGAATAAAGGAAAATCTTTCTTCTCACGGTAAAGAAAACGATCGTCTTCGTCTTCGTTATCGCAAAAATGCATTTTTACTCGAATGTCCAATGGTATATTATTTAATCCGGCTTTTGACTCGGCGAGGAATGTTGGAGTAACGTTGATCTGGATTAATAATTTTCTAACAGGATTGCGTAACTAACGCCAATTTAAGAATTATGCGAATCGACGGTGAACGTTTTCCAAGATGGAGGAATAAGTAATGAGTGCAGTGACCGGCCGCGCTCGTCTCGGACCTTCATCGTTGCACCACGGAAGATGCGGTATACCTTGAAAAAAAAATGGGATGGGACAGGTAGCTGCTGGTAGACAGTGAAAGAAGACGGGAGAGACGGACATAGAAGGGACTATCCACGTGTCGGAGTAACGGTTCGCTGAATTATTTAAAGCACGACGGAGAAGTTTGCAAGCGCAAAAGGTTCCTTACACCCGAGTTGCATACGAGATATCGGTTGATTAAGGTGCATCGTAGATATGTTACCAGATATAAGTACATGTGCATATCGAGAAATTACACGCATTCGTAATTTTCGTTCGTCGAAAATGTACTCGAACATGTTGATATAAATTTTGATCAATTTTGACGTATGAATATTTCAAGAAATATAAGTTTCGAGATTATAAATAGATGATTGATGGATTAAAATATTTGTAATTGATTTAATTCGATGATTAAATTCCATGAAATTCTTTTTTTTTTATTTATTTTGATGAAGGAAATTAATATTAATTCAAACGAAAATTTTATAACGAAACTTAATATTTCTTCAATTATATAAAGAGTCAAAGAAAAAGAAAGAATAATCTTTACTTTATTTACAGCTTCGTAAATTAAAAATCGTTTGAAAATTTACTCGTCATCTTCGTTTAAATGCGCGAAGAATTATAGTCCAGACGTCTGAATCGAAAAAAAAAAAAAATGCCTCGCGTTCCCTTGAACTGTAACAATATAATACCCACCCAGACGTATTTTATTCCGTTGTTGGTCCCCGTTGTGCGTAGGTCGCAAGAAAAAGCAATATACCGCAACTTATATAAAACCAGTCGTAAGCTTGTGTCCCCGACGAAGAATCAAATGAACCAACCATAACGGCGAAGAGAGAGAGAGAGAGAGAGAGAGAGAGAGAGATTGATCGAAAAATAGGGTGAAGGCGAGCACGGTAAAAAGAGGGAGAAACCGAGAGGATTGTCATTTCTCGCAGACGGCGTGGCGCTCCATATTAATTACTTATCCGCAATATGATTCGGATAAATAATGACACGCCTAAGTTTTCAGCTTGACACCATTTACAACGAATGAATTTTACGAAATTGATAAACACCAACAATGTTGTTACATCTATCCACCACACCAAATCATTTTCTGATTCTATCTTAATCAATTTTTTGAAGTAATTTCTTGAAATATACTACTCGAGAAAATTAAGTTTCAATTAATTTGATACAATTCAAATTTATGTTTTTTTACTTGGACAATTAAAACTGGTTAACGATACGTTGAAATATTTGTGACAAGTGTCTTCTTACATTCATACATATACTTTTCGCTCGGTTGAGCATATCTGATTGGTGTACGATAAAACAACCGTGAGGAAATACGTGACGAATGATTAAACATGTAATACTTGACCGCGAAAGAAAGTATTTAAAGAGTTGCGCTATCAATTATTCATTAGCCGGTTTAACGTAACTTGTATCTCGATATGTTTTTTTTTTTTTTTTTTTAACTCTTTCACTCGTAATTACTCCGCCACATTTATATACGTGTTTTCGTGTTTTCAGAGCGATCCCAGTACGGCGTTTCTCCGTGCGGCTCGTGCAGGGCAGCTGGAAAAGGTTTTGGAATACCTGGAATCGGGAGTGGACATTAATGCTTCAAATGCTGTAAGCAATATTCTATTTTTTTTTATTTTTATTTTTAAGAAATTTCTATTACATTGATAAACATTTACGTAGAAATTTTGAATATATATGTTAAAAAAATATTAAATATGAAATTGTAGTGGACGGTATATTTTCAGTAATTCAGTAATTCATTTATACAACAATTTTCATGTATAAATAAAATATCGTATATACGATATTGACAATTGATATAGAATTTTTGATATAGAGAACAACATGATTTAATTACAGAATGGATTAAACGCTTTACATCTGGCAGCTAAAGATGGTCATTTGGAAATCGTCAGAGAACTTCTCAAACGTGGTGCAGTGGTCGATGCTGCTACCAAAAAGGGAAATACAGCATTACATATCGCTTCTCTTGGTAAGTTGCAACTATTACTATTTCTATCTTTTGCATAGATTTTGAACATAAACGAGTTATCACAAAAAATACATGTTTTTATTTATTTAACTATTTTTACATTTCTTTAGCGTTTAATTCATAGCTTATTTTTGACAATTTTCATGGAAAAAGAAATATATAAGTGAAACAAACATAAATGTGTTTTAATTAAGAACTATTTTTTTATTTTTGTTGCGAAGCATTTTATACTCTTTTTCTAAAAAAAATGATATATTATTCGTATATTGTTCGTAATATACGTGGGATGAAAATTCCGAGAAATTGAAATTAATATCTCGTTACAGCTGGACAGGAGGAGGTGGTACAATTGCTGGTACAACGAGGTGCTTCTGTGAATGCACAGTCACAAAATGGGTTCACACCATTATATATGGCTGCTCAGGAAAATCATGATTCCGTAGTCAAATTTCTCTTGAGCAAAGGTGCCAATCAAACATTGGCTACCGAGGTTTGTAATAAATAAAATTGATGTTCGTTAAACACTCGATGAATAATAAGATAATATCAAAAGTTGAACGAGCAAGTATCAAAAATACAAAACGACAAATTAATTTAATATGTTATAATTTGGAAAAAATTTTCTTAGAGCTTAAATCGCGTAGATTTATATTCAATGTACATAACATGAATCTGATATATTTTTTATATACACAGGATGGTTTCACCCCATTAGCAGTAGCAATGCAACAGGGCCACGACAAGGTGGTAGCAGTTCTGTTGGAAAATGACACTCGTGGTAAAGTTCGATTGCCTGCTCTCCACATTGCTGCCAAGAAAGACGATTGCAAGGCGGCTGCCCTACTTTTACAAGTATGTCGTAATGATTTGCCATTGAAGCCCCCTATATTCAATCCGATGTGATCAATATATGAAAAGGAATTAATTCAATGTCTATAACTTACTTTTTCTTTTGTTGTAGAACGATCATAATCCCGATGTAACATCGAAGAGCGGTTTCACACCGCTCCATATAGCAGCGCATTATGGTAACGATCGAATTGCATCCTTGCTTTACGATAGAGGAGCAGATGTAAATTTCGCAGCTAAGGTAAAACGATTTCTAAATATTTAAATTAAGTAAAATGTAATATTATAAAACGTAAAAATGTAAATAATTATTGTGATATATAGGATCATAAATATGAATTAAATTATTTTGGTAAAATGATACAATTGCAAATAAATATTGATAAAAATTGATTAGGAAGTGAAATATTATGTTAGAATAGTAATTCTGAGAATATAAATGAAAACTAATAGAATGTGGAGATTTTGTTACCAAAAATGTGTGTTGTAGTAAAAAAAATTTTGAGAGAATCAAATAAAGAGTCATTATCTTCATCTTCCATTAAAACATATCCAAAAGTTTGATTTCTATGTTAATGTACGTAATCAAATTATTAATCACAGAAAAAAGATTAAAAGATTAATTGTCATAGTGCTATGATTTATTTAATGGATTTCTGAAACTTATAATATAATTTTCGTGACTTTTGTGTGAATGAATTCTTTTGTGAATCTGAACTCCAAAAATCTTTGACATGAACATTTTGAGAATTTTTTAAGACTTTGTATCCTTTCCATTATTTAACTCATTGTTTTTTTTGAAAAAAATTTCTTCCAGTAGAAATGATGATTGCAGAATATTCTTAAAATATTTTAAAACGTTTTAATAGCATCTTGGAGGAATGGTTACACAATCATTTCATGTGGGTTGGAAATAGAAGATTTATAATAAAATTCTATATTCAACAATAACACTAAGTTTTCTGATTGTATCGTAAACCTTATCTAATTAAAGATCTCCCATTCGTTAAAGAAGTTTTATGCATATGTTTCAATCTTTTCAAAGGATCTTCACAATGTGTTGTTAAAAATGTTTTTGAATAATTGAGAAATTTATACCAAAGAGAGAATATGATAATTTAATTGTAACTTTATTTTTGCTCTAAATTATGCTCTACTTCACAGCACAATATTACGCCGATGCACGTAGCGGCAAAATGGGGAAAAATAAAAATGGTAAATCTTTTGATGAGCAAGGGAGCAAATATCGAAGCGAAAACGAGAGATGGCCTTACACCCCTTCATTGCGCAGCACGATCTGGTCATCACGAAGTTGTTGATATTTTAATAGAGAAAGGTGCACCGATCGGTTCCAAGACGAAGGTAAATATTAAAATGTATTACTTTTTATATAAAGTAAAAGGTTTTCTTGCGATTGAATTTGTTGAGGCTTGTTTTCTATTGACAGAATGGTCTTGCACCGTTGCACATGGCTTCTCAAGGAGATCACGTTGACGCTGCGAGGATATTATTGTATCATCGAGCACCCGTGGATGAAGTGACGGTAGATTACTTGACGGCGCTACACGTGGCAGCTCATTGCGGACACGTACGAGTGGCTAAGCTCTTACTTGATAGAAATGCTGATCCAAACGCACGAGCTCTAAACGGCTTTACTCCACTTCATATTGCCTGCAAAAAGAACAGACTGAAGGTCGTTGAGCTCCTCTTAAAGCACAAAGCTAGCATCGAAGCCACTACAGAGGTATATCCCTTGTTCTTATCAGCTCGATAGTATACTTTTTTTTTTTTTTTATTAAACCTTACGTCATAGATATACGTTATAGATACTATAGTACCAATTATATTTGCCTTTAATTAGAATCAGAGATTATTAGAAATAATCCATATGTTATATCCATATACAATAAGAAAAGAAGAATATTATTATTTTTTTTAGTAATAATAGACTCATTTTATTGCTTAGTCTGGATTGACGCCTCTACATGTAGCAAGCTTCATGGGGTGCATGAACATAGTGATTTATTTACTGCAACATGCAGCTAGTCCCGATATACCGACAGTAAGGGGCGAAACGCCTTTGCATTTAGCTGCGAGAGCGAATCAGACTGATATTATCAGGATACTTCTTAGAAATGGTGCCCAAGTTGATGCCAGAGCAAGGGTAAAGAAAAGAATTGAGTATTAGTAAATTTTGATTTGAATATTCACTTTATAGAGACAAAACATTGTTTCAATTTTGCATTTAATTTTCTTATTCCTTTTTTTATAATTTATATTATTTTAATATTTTATATGTTTTTATTTATATATGTGGAAATATCAGTTGCGTTAAAAGAGATTTGAAAAAGTGCAAATATTGTAGGAAGAACAAACACCTCTTCATGTTGCTTCCCGATTAGGCAACGTTGATATCGTAATGTTATTACTTCAACACGGTGCCGATGTAGATGCTACGACTAAAGATTTATATACACCGCTTCATATTGCCGCTAAAGAAGGTCAAGAAGAGGTAAAATTTTAAATACACACACATACATATATCTTATTTAATTATTTATTAATAACTAACTTTTATTTGTAATTTTTATTCCAGGTTGCATCCGTTTTATTAGAAAACGGCGCTTCGCTTACCGCGACGACCAAAAAAGGATTCACTCCTTTACATTTGGCAGCTAAATATGGTAATATGAATGTAGCAAGATTACTATTGCAGAGGAATGCACCAGTTGATGCCCAAGGAAAGGTAAGAAACAGTTTTTTGCTTTCTTCTTAAAAATAATATTCTTATTAAATGTGATTTTTATATCTGATACTAAATTCGTTTAATCGTTCGTTTAACTAGAATGGCGTAACTCCACTTCACGTAGCATCTCACTACGATCATCAAAATGTAGCTTTACTTCTACTTGATAAGGGTGCATCACCTCATGCTATGGCTAAAAATGGTCATACCCCATTACATATTGCAGCACGCAAGAATCAGGTAATTTATTTGTAATTATTTACAACATTAATTAAATTATTTAATATATTATTCAATAATTTCGATATAATTTTTACATTTAATGTAGATGGATATTGCAACTACTTTATTGGAATACGGAGCAAAAGCAAACGCGGAATCAAAAGCAGGATTTACGCCGCTACATTTGAGTGCACAAGAAGGCCATACTGATATGTCAACACTACTTATTGAGCACAAAGCAGATACAAATCACAAAGCAAAGGTAATATAAAATATCGAAAATATTTATTTTAAATAATAAATATTTATTATTTAATTTTATTAAACATTTTTTTTTCATAGAATGGTCTCACGCCGCTTCATTTGTGCGCACAAGAAGACAAAGTCAATGTTGCATCTATTCTTGTTAAAAATGGTGCCCAGATTGATGCTAAGACAAAGGTATGTTTTAAACAAAATTCGATAAAGATATTTTTTAAAAATTAAGATATTTGTTATAGGCTGGTTACACTCCGTTACATGTGGCAGCTCATTTTGGTCAAGCAGCTATGGTACGATTCCTTTTACGATCTGATGCAGCAGTTGACAGCAGTACGAATGCTGGATATACTCCATTGCATCAAGCTGCTCAACAAGGTCATACATTAGTGATCAATTTGTTGCTTGAGGGTAAAGCAAAACCGAATACAACTACTAATGTACGTAAAATTTATGAAAAATTTATTTCTAAATTTTCCTTCAGATTTTTATTTTTTAACATTTTATTTTTTATAGAATGGACAAACTGCTTTGGATATTGCACAAAAACTTGGTTACATTAGTGTCATCGAAACTTTGAAGGTAGTTACAGAAACTATCATTACAACGACTCATACAGTTACTATTGAAGAAAAATACAGAGTGCAAGCTCCTGAATCAATGCAAGAAACATTTATGAGCGATAGCGAAGATGAAGGGGGTAAGTGTTCGTTATTTCTTATTCTAAAAAATTTCAGATATAGATGCTTCAATAAAAAAAATATATTTTGCATAGATTTGTAAAATTTGTTGAATAATTGAATACTAAAATATTAAGATAAAAGATATTACCGCAAGATATTAATTATAATTAATTATAATTAAAGATTAGTTAAATTAGTATATTTCTATATTATAACAAGAATTTAAATTTTAATCTAAAATTTTAATTTATTTGTTTTCAATTTTTTTTCTTTTTTTAGAATAATATTTTATTAAAATATCAAATAAAAATCGATAAAAATATAAATAGTAGATATTTGCTAATATGTTTGTAATATAGTTCTGCTTTTGTAATTTCGCTTTTTATACATCTAACAGCTTATAGAACAATTATTGCATAATACACATTTACATTATAAATTTACTGCATGAAATTATGCTTTTAGGAAAACTTAACATTTATTTAAAATAAATAACAAATATGTAATTAATTAAATTTTTTTCTATTTATAAAGAAATTATTAAATTTAATTATGTTATTATTTTATTTGAAATTTTAGGTCTTTTGATATAAAATGATTTAAATAGGTGATATTAACTCCAATAATTTACAGAATATCTTTATTATATAATAAATTACATTTTATGATATAATTTTTTTTACGAAATTAATATTTCGATAGCATTTTATGAAACGTCTATTTTCCTATATAATATATTGTATGTAAACTATAGTTTACTATAGTTAAATTTTAATTGCACCAAAATATTTAAAATATAAAAAATATTACAAAGAACATTATTAAGCACATTTAATTTATTTATATTTTTCTATTCTCAATTTGTTTCACATAAATGCATGTACTTAACGCATGACAACACACGAAAAATACAAAATTTAGCATGTTCATAATGAATCCTATAATAATTTTCCTTAATAGAAATTAGCAGGTTTCTTTTAACAAGGGAATCACAAAAACACTATCGATTTTAGATTAGCAAAACCTTTAATATCCTTTAATATTACATTAGGTTTTTACACACTGAATCACAAAATATTGCCTTTAATTCATTATCTTTAACAAAAAGAAATATTTGAGGAGGCATAATTATTGTCTCCATATTTTCGAGTAAAAGTCAAAGAGCTACGTGATATATGATATTATTTGCTTGTTTTGTTGCGTTTATGTTAACATTCATTTTTGCAAGAGCATGTATTTAGTGTATGTTCACTGGGTTGTTGTTACATCTTTGAAAGAAATAATTTATCTTACAATTAGACACATAGTTATTAGATGCATAAAAAACTTAGCAACTAGTTGAAAATCTGTTTAATATACATAATCAAATAGATAGATAGATTAAATATTTTGAATTTTAGTAAAATTTTTGTAAAATAATATCATATTTGCCTTACACAGGTAAACATAAATTTTACATAAATAAAAATTCGCGAATATTAATTTGAAGTTTATCTTAAAAAAAAAAAATAATTTTTTTCAAGATATCATTGTAATCTCTCTGCCTGAATTAAATAAAAATTATTTTCTTATCTGTGTAAGATTTATATAGTAAGTAGTTTCCATCAACAAATTCTAGACTAAATTTCTTCCTTCATAACAATAATGCGGAGCAAACTTAATTATAACAAATAATAAATCTAAGCAGGTTTGCTTGTTTGCTTAATTAAAATATAATACATTCACATTATAATACTTATTTGTTCCATCTTACGAACATAAAGTAAAAAAAGAAAAAAAAAAGAGAAAGAAAAAATAGATTAGACGAATAAAATTTTAATCAAAACTAAGTGAAATTAATTTCGATTAAAAATTATACTTTTCCATTTACATTTAACAAATACTCGAATGTTAATTCTATTTATCTACGAAAAAAAGAATACATAGATTTAAAAATAGCTGAAACTTTGAACAATTTTATCAAGTACGTGAGGTAAATAAAAAATTATTAAGTCGAAGCAAACGAACAAACTATAAAGCTCGCGGTAGGCTTTATCTCCTGCTACGTAAAATCAGCTATTTAACAACCCAGTGATAGCGAAATTTAGAAACAGTGTTTATGGTGCAAAATTAGCGTTTTGATAAAAAAAATGACCTTACTCGACGGCGTACAATGTAGGTGGTGATGAAATCGGCATGGCAGCCATGAATGTGTACGGGCAGCCTCCACACGCGCAACACGTGTACCTTCCTTCTTACTACCAGGGCCAAATGACCTATACCCGTAAGTTGTCTGTACTCTGTTTCTGTTACTCTTTCACATAATCACACGTGCGCGCAACATTTTGTATTTTTATATATATATATACATAATAATGTATTACATATATACATATACATACATATATCAGCACATGGGTACGTAAATTAATTTCGCCGTACGTAAACACGCGCATTCGGATATCATTCATATATATATATATATATTGTCGAATCTCATTTAAGAGAAGCAATATTATCTTTTTGCTTTTACATCATCTCCGTTAAATGGCCCGTACGTTGACATTTTAAATATTTAATATTTACACACTTGTTCAACATGAATTCCTTTCTTCCTCTGCAAACGCGTATTCGATTCTTTTCTTAACTGGATATCGTGTCGTAACGCAGTTCTTGTTGCAACAAGCGTAATGTATTTCCGGCCAATCGCGTTACTTTTGATTTTTTATGAACGAAAAAGAATTGAACGATAAATTGGTATTTTTTTTTTTTTTTTTTTTTTTTTTTTTTTTTTTTTTTTTTTAATACTTTCAGTTCATCGTAGCGTATTTCTTTTTCCTATTCTGGAACGCGTGGAAAACATAAATACAGAGACATGCACAGACATATACCTCTCCTCAAACCGCTGTTTGTTCACACTCTATTTCGTTTACCCTCCTTGTCGCTCCATTTCTCCTCTTATAAAAATTAATAAAAATCCTCTTGTTACCTTTGTAACACCTGTAGTAGCCGTATAATCTTATTAATGAGATTTACGCTTTGAGTTTTCGATATTGCGAATAATTTTTATTGTGCTACAAGTTTTAAATGCTATCGAAATTCAACTGAATATCATTCTCGCGATCGTGATTGTTAATTACAATCAATGAAATAAATATATAATCCATACATATATATATACGTGAAAAAAATTTTTTTTATGCGAACAGATTGATTTTATGTTTTATTTATTTATTTATCAAATATCAGAATTAATTAAAATCAGAATAGAACAATTAAAGAAAAGATACGTAGATAATCTTTGAAATATTTTTCTTTTCTGTGTTTCTCTGAAATGTCTCGATTTATGATTTGCACTTACTATTGTCGAGTCATGATACAATTAGTAAACACATATAAAAATTTCTCACTGCTTGTAATTCAGCAGAAGAATCATTATCATTTATTCATTACTCGTCATTCGAATGTTCTTACATGTACAGTTCTGTTTTTAGTATATACGAGTAACAGTTTAATTTTGTCATCACGCATCAATGTCGTTCTCGCGTTGAATCGACATTAAGAAATTTATATTCATCTAACTAAAACGTAACGATATATTTATCGATCGTTAAACTTTAATCTTAAGATTTTTTTTCTTGAATCACTGGAAGAAAATATTATATAAGAAGTTATATATCCCCTAAACGAAAATATTGCAGCTATTCCTCGAAACTTTGAATCGAATACCGATATATAAAAATAAGCGAAGTTGATATTCAACGATGTTACACCTGTGCGAAGTCACCGATGCATTTCGCATTTTTTTCGAATCTAAAATTCAGAAAATGGTACGTTAACGAAGTAGGGCGCGTTACCACTGTTAATGCAATTTGCATAATAACGAGTTGTACGATCATTATGCCAGTCGACAGGAACAGAAGTAGGCTTGTGTGGTGGTCTGTTTTGACGTATCATCCTCGTACCTATACGCATTCTGCTTCGCCTGTTATGCAACAGCCGGTGTGTGTATCTCGTACCATATTATTCGTGCAGTTAGTCGAACCCCTGCTAGCTGGCAAGTCGCCAAATACGATTCACGACCAAAATATCGAAATTTATATAATACGATATATTTGTTCTTTTTTCTCTTCTCTCTCTCTCTCTCTCTCTCTCTCTCTCTCTCTCTCTTTCTCCTTTTCTTTTCCTTCTTTTCACTTCAAAACTTTGACGCGTAGTTTGTACTCTCATTAACTTGGATGACGCGGTGGAGCGCGGGAAAAGCGTGGTTCATAAACTTTGACACGGATACTCAACGTTCGTCGGTCACGTTACATCGTAAACAGGCGAAGTTGGAGAGAAAACTTCACGCGCATCGGTGATCCTAATTTTTAAATACTCGTCTTCCTATTTATCGAACTGGAGCGCGTCCAGCGATCGAGGCCTCTGGCTTCGAAGCTTGGAAAGCAATCGTAATCGCTCGGCCCGCGTCGGTGGAAAGGAAGATCAAAGGGGAAGTCGATCTTGTTCGATTGGTTCATACACGTTTGTTTGATCGATTAGCGTAATCGTAAATCGCGCTCTATCTCTACGACTTCGCAGAAATGATTTCGACGAATCACGATTCCGCTCGACTCCTCCGCGCTAACGCGTACTGACAGAGACGAGAGAAGAAATCGATCAGTTGCCAACAATTGCACCCGGTCACGCTTCCTTACCGTTCAAAGAAACGGTAGGAGAGTCGGGTTGCGAACGGTTGCGAAGATGTAAATAAAGTATAGTGGAAAAGCTCGGAGGCAGCTACTATTATAAAATTGGTGATTCACGGAATGAGGTCACGTTTCTGTTAGGTAGTAGTAGCGTTGCGTCGAACTTGTATTAATCTTAAAGCAGTCGCTGTTCCTGACCCCGCCGGTTCTAGCACGCGACGAAATACGCGCGGAACGAAAGAAGCGGAGAGAAGCATCCAGGCCGTGCACGGTTAATGCAATTTAACAAATCAAATCTAATCAGGTGAAATACGTTGGCTGCTTGCGTAACGGCCGCCTCTCTCCAGTAATAACGATACCCTGGAACGGTGTGCACACTTACGTGACGGCAAATTTCCCCAATTTCGCCGATCACCCGGTGCTCCAACGATAAACAAACGGAGTCGAGTGGAGTGGAGTGGAGTGGAGGAATCGACGACAGTGGCTGCGTGCGTGCGGGCTGTGCGTGCGATCCGCGACGCGTGGATGGATCCCATCAATGGACGCGTACCGATAACGGACGTTAATTGTAATTCGCGTGACCTGTGTAACTTGCGCATCACTCGGCGGCTCGGTTCAGCCGAGTGATGTAATTAATCCTCGTACGTAGCTGCACACCGTCAGTACATCGTGTTCGCTGGACTGAGTTGTACAAAGTTGCATCTTCTTGTGGGATTCTTCTTTTCGCTCGAGGAGGAGGAGCAAAGTGTGTTACGCGTTACGATAAATTTGCCGCGCGTTCTCGTTCTCGAAACGAGATAACGATTTCTTTTTTTCTTTTTCGATCCTCGCGTGGTTGGACCTTTAAACTTTCTTCTTAAAACTTTCTTGATTTTGAGGGAAATTTTTTCCTCGTTTTATTCGTCGTCGATCGGGAAAGATATTACAAAGAAGAAAAAAAAAAAAGAAAAAGAAAAATGGCCAAGGGACGATCGAAGCAGAAGGGACAATCGAGGAAGATAACGTGTTGCGGGTGTACGAGCAACAGGAGCAGCGACGGCACAAGTAAATATAATCTCGCGTTTTCTTACGATATGGTCTGACGATAGTCTCCTAATCCTTAATTTAAACGCGGCTATTAACCAGTGGTTTTAATCGCGTGAGCGAATACCATTATTATTCGAAATGTCGTGGCGTCGTGTTGAATCGAATTTTTCCCTGCATTTTCTTACAAGCTATTTTCTCGAGGGAAGGTTAAACGAGCGAGTCGTTTCTCGTCGCGCGGTCGAATCGCGTGACACTTTAGAGAATTTCTGAAATGATCGAAATTTTGGCAAACGATATCGGGTCACGTGGTTTCTCATAATATGCACAATATCGTGGTAAATCGTAAACTCGGAAGCGATCTCTCGGTATTTTCGTAACGCCATTTTATTCACATTCTTTATTTAATTTAAAACAGGATTTTTTTAAATTTCGATAATTCCGATGTCGAGATTCAAATGTTCATCGAGCGTTCATGAAATTTTTAACGTTGACCGAGCAAGTTTATCTTTATTTTATCTTTTATTTTCAATTTTTTCTTCTTTTTCTTTTTTTTCTTTTTTGTGGAAAATGAATCAGATTTCAAAGATTTCAAATGAATGTAAAAAGAATCTGTAGAAAATGTTTAACACAATATTCTCGATGCGATAACCAGTGCTTACAAAGTGATAATGAAAGACTCGCCACGCGACTTTGTTTTTCTTGACTTAATAAATATGTTAACCGAAGTTAAATATGCCATCTAATTTAAAAAAATGAAAAAGTATAAAATAAATAAAAAAAAAATCTTTTTTCCTCTTGCAATCTATTAACTCGTGATATTTTCGAGTAAGAAAATTCATAGAAATTTAATATTATTGCAAAAAAGTATTCATTATTCATAATTGAAATTATGAATCATATCAATGAACTATTGCACTATTCGAAAAAATATTATATACATAATATTACATAATCTTTGACCAGCAATTGATGTTCAAAACCTAAAGCATTTCCGACATTTCTTTTAATTCAAATTTTCAAACTTGCTAACCCGTTGACCGCGCGAAAAGATAAAAACTATCTAAGTCTATTCTCTTTAATCATGCATGCCGTTTTAAAGTCGTTCAAATACGATTTCGATTGCACGATACAAACAAACTCAACAGTCTATTTGCAGTATAGATACAATCCAACATTACGAGTTCTCGCAACTAACAAATTTAAACGACTTGTCTTAAACTTGGTCTGTAAACGCGCAATATATATACATATATATATATATATATATATATTCTACGAGATGTTTACATTTCCCGATCCCGTTCGTAGAAGATAATGGTGAACAGACCAACGCGGATGGACCGCGCGAACAAGTAACGACACCGGTAGTTCGATAAATTTCCATCTCTTTTTTCGCCTCGTAAACCTGAATACCGTGACCAAAATTAGACTCGGTATTTACGCGGATATTTCCCGCCCTGTATACATCCGGTCGACGATCGAACGATCGCACACCTCGAATATTTAAAAAAAATCGAAGCGGACGAAATGTTGTATCGCGCGACAAACTCGTCGCTCCGCTCGACTACGAGTTTAATATCCGCTACGATTATTATGATATCCGTTGCTCGAAGAGAAGTTGCTCGAAGTCGCAGGAAGCGGATCGGTATCGGCGACGTGATCGAAGGCGTCGAAACGATTGTATTGTATCGAACGATGGAATCGAACGGTGACCGAATACGGGTGGCCGTATACGTGCGAAAATTGAAGTAAGAGAGGAACGTATACGCGTATGGAAGGTGTGTTAAAGGCTGGCGAGCTTAATTGAGCGGCACGAGAAACGTGACCACGATCCTCGGTTATGACATAACAATGAGACGGTGACATAAGTCGCGCACCACGATGTATCGTGGAACGCGGGTCGGAGTAGAGGCGACGACGATCAAGGTCAGCCAGTTTCCTGCGCCTCGAAAAGGGGGGAAGGGGAAGGAAGAAGGATTTATTACCGTATTTTCGTATATTCCTTCCTCTCAAGTTCTTGCGAACTTCGATTTCTTCCTTTCGAAACGGAACAGGCCGTTCGATACTCGTGTATCTCTACCTCTACGTTGCAACGCGATAAACGTTTATTGCGATTGGCGTTCGAAGTCGAGAGAAGGAGGGGCATGGCGCGACAGCGTGGAGCTATCGGAAATCCCCCTATCGGCAAGTTGGCGCGAAAGTTTTGGCGTTCGAAAAGGTTTGGTTTGGGTTTCTCGTAGCGGAAATCTATTTTCGATTTTGGTGGCGATTTTTAACGCGCGGCGAGGCGAGATACGTGGAAACGGGAATTCGATTAACGCGTTCGATGCAACGTGACACAAAGGCTGAGCGTCTCGTTGATCATGATTAGTCTCTATTCTCGTCTATGACGCTACTACTAACTGCATTCAACGAGATTCGACGCGATTACTTGGTTCAGTTTTCACAGGCGCGCGTGTATTCGGCCAAGATATAGGTCACTGCCTATGAGGTCAACTATTCGTAGATGGAAGCTTAGAAGAGGCCGAGAAGCTTAGAATCCGTTCCCCATCGAACGTGTCCTTGAACACCGCCTAAAATTAGAGTTTTCGCGGTACGCGCGGTTTCTCCATGTGCGCCTTCACCGCGCGGACCAAGTCGCCTCGTGTTTCTTATTAATTTTAGATATTATCGATTCCCACCACCATCACCATCTCTCTGTCCATCTCTTTCTCGAGCTCTCTCGAGATAACGAGTGACATCATTTCCATCCCGTGCCGACTTAAGCGGTTTACACACCGGCGTAAACGTGTCGCGATCCTAGCTTTCTCTTGGGATACAGGATTCGAGTCGAGTCGGGTGTTATCGATTTCGAAAACGCTACGCACGCTATCGACGCTAAAATTGAAACTGGTTTGAAATCGATCTCGAACGAAGGTTACACGCGTTCGAAGTTTTCCACGCGTGTGCACGTCTCTTTATTCGTTAAAACGTGGTCGCAAGAGCGGAAGAGGCGAGATTGGCCTCTTCGTATCGTAATTCGGATAAAAGAGAGAAACGAAACGTTGTTGTCGTCGCCGCCGCTGTCTCGCCAGTAACATTATTTTTCGTTCCACCGCGCACGCCGTACAATCCTCGCCTATATTATCGTGTCGCAATAATATATTCGAGCTTTGTGAAGATTTATTTTCGAAGCTGACAACAACAGTACATTCCTAGGACGGTGTAGGGAAATGATGTACAATTTGGTTCGCGTTAGAGATTAGTTCAGTTTCATAGTGGCGTTATTGTACGCGTGTGGGCCGTAAAATTTTGTAATGCTGACCATTTATTAGATAATTGTGCTCCATATTCTTGGCATATCTGATAAGGCGTGTTTAAAGTTGTATAAGGTGATCGGATAACGGAGTAGATCTCAGTCTTGTGAAAAATACGATACCCGTGTTTCTACGCGTGTTCGTTTTTTTTTTATCCGCCCAGTTTTCAAAGAACTTCGAAAGCTCGTTCGCGAAATTATTATTTTTAAACCGCACATTTATTAGCGTTTACGATAGACTGTGCAGCGTCTAAAAAAAGAAAAAAAAAAAGGTAGATATTTATTATGTTACGACGAGCCGTATACGTTCAACGCTTTCGTCATCGATTCTCAATGAATCGTGCGTTTCTCTTGTGAATCGTGCACATGGGATGTGTGTGCTGTATGAGCAAATAATACGATAAAAAAAAGTCGATCACGAGATATTTTTATCGTATTTTTATATCGATAATCGACATCGTACACGATTACTCAAATATTTATTTATATTTTGTTTGCATTTCTCTATAATTGATAATTACGATAATTGGTATATCTGTACGAAGTTGAATTCCCTTTCGATTCGAAAGAATATATTTCCGCTATAAAAAACTATAAGAATCATCAAGTTCTTAATATCTGTCACTTTCTTCCGATTCACGTGTTTCGCACGATTATATATATATAAATTTCTTTCACAGTCATTCCTTGCAGCAGATTCTCGTGTGCAGATTTGTTATTCATTTGTTTAATAAGGGTACGAGTAAGGCCAGAATAAAAACTCCGACCGATGAGTATATACATAACGACACGATACTTAATTTACGCTTCTTTGAGCTTTTGGGATAATTTTCAAATGGCAATGATTTTTTCCATTTTATTTGCAGCCTCATTATTATATTCATTCACTCACTCTTGGTGCGTACTTACTCTTCGACCACGATATCTCTTCTACCCCATATATATATATTGTTTTTTCATGCAAGAATTCAAGACGTGAGTGTGCGCTAGAGAGATCTTCACGACTCCCCTCACTCTCTCTCCCCCCCCAACCCCCCTTTCTTTTTTAGACCCTCTTGCGAACACGCAAAGTGGCCGTTTCCCTTGTAACGACTTGTATCATTAATTCACGTTGCGTTCACGTCACAGGTGAAGATCCGATGCTCAGCGACCAACAGCAATATCGATACATGACTGTTGACGACATGAAATCTATGGGGGATGACTCGATGCGCGTCAACGTGACGGACGACGAGAGGGATAATCGGCATTCCGGAGGTAAGTCGATGGAACATTGCGTTTCAAAGCTTTTTCTCTCTCTCTCTCTCTTAGATTATATTGGAACAATTGGATTTCCGATCGAAGTTGAGCTCGATTCTCTTTCGACCAGGAGTGCAGTATTTCTTTCTTTTTTCTTTTTTTTTTTTTATCCATTGTAAAGTTCAACGGGGTATAACGAAAGATTCGTTCGAGGCGATGGAGGAACGATGGAGGGTCGTAAATTGAATTCTTGGTTCAGAAGAAAAGACGGTCGATCTTGCGCGTAGTTGTTGCACGAGTCGTTTATAGAAAGACAGAGTTTGAAAGCTTCGCGCCATCTTCGTATCGTGGAAATGTATCTTCGATTTTCGTTGTACGTGTAAAAATTTTAGCTGAAAAGGTAGTTGATTTTTTTAATTTAAAATGATATAAAATTTCAATTTCGTAGCACCCACGATAACCGAGATGATCACGAAGGAAACTTGTCAGCGTACAAATGCCGCCAATCTGAAACCGGACAATGTTGATATCAATAGGCACCCAGTTCACGTCGGGTACGTATTCGTTTATTCGTTTTCTTGTGAATTCTGTGAACATAACGGTAGTGAAAACAAAATTGTACAATTTAGGGTAGGTTGTATTTACTTATTAATTTATAATTGTACAATAATGCTCGACACGCGCACACTGTATGTATATATGTAAAGCGTTTTTCACGAAATTTCTTAAAACTCTTTTAAAATTTTAGCGAGTATTATACAACTTACCCCATATTTGCAAATATATTTATAAAATATCGAATGCATTTTACGAAGTATTTTATCAAGCAAAAAAAAAAAAAAAAAAAAAAAAAAAGAAAAACGAAACAAATTTGTTTGCAACATAATATGTATGTATTTTAAAATATATCAAATTTTTCAAATTTTCTTCGACTATCGTCAAATTGGCATTCCTTGCTTTTCGTTCTTTGAAATTGAAAATTTGCATTGTTATCCGATAAATTTGAAAATTGTTTGCAAATTATACATATATATGCACGACAAATTGAAGGAAAAAAAAAAAAAAAACTAACTAAATTATCGTAAACAAGAAAATTAGAAAAAAAAGTGATCTCTATATTTGCATGGTTTGTTTTAATAATGTTTTAATAATAGCGCAACGTATAAATAAGACTAAGAATGAAATAGAAAACAATATGTACAGATTAATATTTTCTCGGATTAAAACTTGAAGCTGTAGTCGAAATTCTATTTGAAACGTATATATTCTATCTTTGAATCTCTCTTTAAGCTTGTAAAAATAGCTCGTTTTTATGGACATTTGGCATTTATTACCACAAATTTCGATATTTTCAAGATTATTACACGCACAAGCTTCGTGTCATTAAATTATATAAATACACGTTCTTCTTTGAAGTCGACGTGACACGTAGTATACGTAATTGTATACAAAACTACATAATGCATAAAAATACATTTCTTTGAAAATATAAAATATTTTTGTCTCGTTGAATTGGAAAAAGAAAAAACGTTTTCACAACTGTATTTATACGCATACGCGCATATAATAAGCAAATAATAACGTTTCTTGTAATCTTAATTTGCGGTTGAAAATTGTACATAAAAAAACGTAATAGTACGCAAGCAAGTGGCGTACGTAAACGGAAACAATAATATTGTGTATTATAGTGTGATACGGTGTGCATTGGTGAAAGATATTCCTTGCTCTAATTAACCCTAATAGATTATTGGCTGGTATAACAATAAAACGTAATTTACAGGATCGTGTTGATAATCCGTACGAGCTGCATAAAGCAGAGCTTGGACCTTCTATTCTCGCAAAAAAAAAAAAAANAAAAAAAAAAAAAAAAAAAAAAAAAAAAAGTCTCGAATCAATTTTTTTTTCTTCTTTTTCTTTTTTTTTTAGTTGGCTTCATAAACGAACGAAAAAATTGTTTCACTTACTAACTCAATTGACTCACATTTGAGGAAGCGAAGATTAAAACTAATTCTTTTTCATTTCTTTCTTACCGCAAATATTACTACGTATCACGCGCATACACGTGATAATCGTTCCACTGAGCAGAAGATATAACGGTTCTTATGGGTCGTATACGTAATAATTGACATATATTCACTGTTACATAATCGCACGCATAATGAAAACATAACAGCGTAACTGTCACAGCTAGGAGTACGCGATGGAACGCGATGGATTAGATATGGAGCCAACCGAGAGAAAATAAAACCGAGTAACTAAATCGGTCTTTACTCTGACGCCATCATAATAACCTCTCACAACGAGCTATCTTTTTCCCTTTTTTTTTTTTTTTTTTTTTTTTTTTTTTTTTTTTTTTTTATACCTAATATCTTTATTTTCTTATAATTCTATTCTATTCAGAATGTTCAGTTTAACAATTTATATAATCAGCCAACAAGCTAAACAACAAGAACCAACCGCTTTGGTGCCCTCGTTTACAATTTCTTCTTTGTCTTGCTCGTAGCGATAGAACTAGATTATCTCTAGTTATTAAAGCATGTTGTTCTTGAAATATCTCTTTGGGATGAACGATTCTTTGATTAGTGTCTAGCAATTCTAATTGAACACCGTGTTCCTTACTAATACCGGACCAGATTGTCGTAACCTCGAACTCTTACGATCGATCGAGTAATAATACCGAGGCGAACTCGATGGTATAATGATCCTACTAAGCGCGAAAGAAATACGTATCATAAATTTCAAATGTGTCTTATGTTATAAAATTGACTAATTTTTCTTCTTTTTTTTTTTTTGCTCGAGTAATTTACAGATCATTTTGATTGAGCACGAGTTTGAAAATTATTATCTTGTTACTCCGTTCGAGAAATGAAAAAACTCTTTTATATGTATATATATATATATATATACATATACAATGACACTGTTGTATCTTGAATCGACAATGAATCTTTTCTTAGCGCTTAGTAGGACAGGATACTTATTATATATCAGACAAATGACGTTTTGTCCATATAACGACTCTACTTCCTATCGAGTATATATACCTTCAGTGTGATCTATATAGAATGTCTTCCTTATATCTTAACCACGTACAAGAGCGCACAATATCTTTGCACGCACTTGTTTCTGGATATGTAGAATGATTTTTTTTTCCCCCTTTCCCAAGTGCACATTGACTTCCTAAAGACAAACAGCGGAGGAAAGTGCAAAATGCACGGCAAAAGAAAGAAAGAAAGAAAAAAAGAAAGAAAGAAAGAAAACATATATAGCATGCGCATGAAACAAATTTCTTATCCTATAATCATACCAGATTTTGTTCTGAGATCAGACCGTCCCTAGAGTCCTTAAACACATCGCTGGCAGCTCTTGGTACCATGTCGAAAGGACAAGGAATGTGGAGGGACAGGTACACCAATCCCTTTTTTATTATTTTCCCCTTTTTTTTTTTTATTACATCTTTTAAACATCTTTTCATTTATCTTTATCTATAGAGTTAGATTATAGATCGTAGTATTATATAATTTTGTTCCTCGAATAAATCATTAATATATCTCGTATGTTTCTACCTTTAACACGATAAAACTATCCAAATATTATCCGAATCAGATAGAGAGACAAATTTATTCCTGTACATTCTTATATCATACACGATATCACGATACGCTGATATTTTAATCGATTATTATATAACATTCACTAATGGATTCATAAATTCGATGAGAAAAATTTACGTAATATAATAATATAATTAAGGAGATCGTAGATTATGTAGATTGGAAAATAATTAGACAAAGTGATATACATATATACATATGGAATACTTCGATGTAAAGACGCTCTTAAATTAATTCTGTAAATTAAAAGAAAGAATCGTTCGTCCTTTCGTTTAATGATATCTAGTTTAATCAACTTGGACACACATTTTCATCATATAATAATGGCTGCTGCTCGTCATTGTTCCATCTTCTTCCTATATGGACAAGTTTGAGCTATTTTTTGCACATGTAACGAAATCTGTCAATTATATCCCTCCAACGACAAGTATAACTATAACAAAAATTACTTGCAAATAAAAGATCATTGAGAATTGTGTAAGATATATAATTGCAGATTTCGGAACAATCAACAATTTTACGTTGCCACCCTAACGTATATCTTTTTTTCGCAGAGTGTGAATGATGTGACCTCGTTCCGTCTCCACTATAATACATAATTATTACTGTTACATTTCCCCATTTTTTGTACTTTTTTTGTATAATAGAGAAGTGGTTTGCGTGTGATGATTGCGGGTTTTCGACAATCGGAATGAGATACAATCATCATCAATAACGTTTTCAAATCAAGATCGATGCTTGGAAGAAGGAAAAAAAAAAAAAAAAAAAAAAAAAAAGAAAAAGAAAAAAGAAAAAAAAAACAAACATCACAAATGTTCGAAAATCTGTAAAAGTTGCGCTAGTTCAAAATCTCGACTCCATCTATATCGTCATCTCTCACCATCATTTATATGGAACGAATGGATACTAACGCGTTTTTTTATTTTGTTCCCGATCCTCTCTGTTATTTTATTTGCGCTACTCGCAGAATTCCACAGTGGAGAAAGTAAGTGATCTTCTCTTGAATCTTAGCTTCTGCTACTTGCCATACCGCTCTTCGATATCATTTGTTTTTTTTTTTTTTTTTTTGATAGATTTTATGATCGCACAATACCCGTAGTCGCTCAACTTTTATTATTAGACAAGAAAATTGTGGTGCACAATGAATATTATGTTAACTAAAAAAAAAAGAAGAAAAATATTGAAGAGAAAAAACGCCTGAACGCTTACGTTTGAATAATGCTTATTTATTTCCTTTTTTTTTTTTTTTATTTCGATTTATAAGTATACGTCGTTTGAGTTATTAAATTATCGTAATTTGCACAGCTTATAAATTATTCCAAAAACGCGTTATATGTAAATCGTTCCATTACATCATCTCACTTGAGCAAACAGCCTTCCTTCAAGGAATTTATATACGATATCGATATTTTTAGACTATTTGTAAATGTAAACGGGAGAAAAAGAGCGTGGTTTCAAAAGAACGCGAAGGCGTTTTTCATTACGTGTATAATAATTTTATTCGTGGCAATTAAACGAATATAAATGAAACGTAAGACGTTGTCTCTAATTATTTTATGACAAATCAACGTTTATATATATTCATTGTGCACGATATTGTGATGCAGCATCTCTGTGAATAATTCTCAATAATTCATCGTGAAACTATGTATCCACCAGCACCAATCATCGATCAGCAATATAGGAAGCAACGAAGAATAAATCTTTGAATTTTAATTCGACCAATTCTTGTTTGATGATTCTTTTTTTTTCTTTTTTTTTTTTTTCTTTTTAAATAGTACGTTCTTTAATAAATCGTTCGATGTTAATTAGCGTTACGCTTGCAGGCACGGAATATTCATGCAACAAATTCCCCGACACATGCTCACAACCCATACTATTCAGTTATAGTTATCTCTATTTAAAATTTAATTTGCTCCATTTTTCATGCAATTTATCTTTGCACTTTATTGTCTTGTGATTAATTTAATTTAATTTTTTTTTTTACAGTTATACCTCATACGCAGCGATAAATCATATTTTGTATTCTTTNATAAAAAAAAAAAAAAAAAAAAAAAATTAAAACATTTAACACCATCGTGAATATATATAAAGTTCGCCTTCAGAATAATCCGATAATCTCGAAGAATAATTTCTCTGTACTCCTTAACTTTAATGCTTCTAGTAAAAATTATTTATTATCGTGAACGTTGCTTCTCGGCTTGGCGTGCTTTTATGATACTTATATATGATAACTCAGACATCTGTTTTTAATTGGCCTTTCAAAATATTTTTACTACTTTATTAAATCAAAAAACGAGAATCACGTACAACATCTCTTTACAAATTAAAAATTGTATCACTTTTAAATTAATATTATCTCTATCACTCTCGTGTTCTTTTTTTTTTTTTTTTTCGTATATATATAAAATTGTACAAGACGGGAAAAAAACCGTCTTAATTCTCTAAAAATAAGTAATCCGAATTTTACAGACTAGTGTAAATAATATGACGTATATATTTGTACATTTAGTAAAAATATTTTTTTTCTTTTTTTAATTGGTTTACATTACATAATTACGTAATTGGTTTAATTTGGACCAATAGCGATACAGCATGATTCGTATTATTTCTCGACAGGCCAAAATGTTCGCACAATATATGCGTATATGTAATATGTATAATAGTTTTTTTGAACAATGATTTTATGATTACGTGTCCATAATAATTAGCCACCCATTGCGATGATTGCTCTTATTAATTTTAAGTCTCTCTCTCTCTCTCTCTCTCTCTCTCTCTCTCTCTCTCT